ATCCCTTCTGAGGGAGTGAGCAAGGCAAGACAGAAGTAGAAACAGAGGTCCTGGTATGCTCACTGTAGAGGTACATACTAGGGAATCTTCTGGAATCCTGCAAGGACATATGGGTCCTGGATAAGGGGTGACTTAGCATCATTCAGTCCCTAGCATGAGCATCAATAAGCCAGGACCACGTCCACAAATGAAGACCGTTGTCTGGTGGGAAATGAGAGGATGCCTCACAGTATTGTACACACACCTCCCTCTGCTTTACATCTGCGGTTTCCATGTGGTTATGTACAAGTTTCAAAATAATGCGATCCTTTGAGAACCAAAGATGAACCAGTTTAGCTGGAACCAGAGTGCCTGCTGACATCTCTCTGTGGGATTGACAACACAGGGTTTCTCCCTTCATCTGAGTCTAGGACAATGGGTGGAGCCACAGAGACATCCCCACCCCACCAAGGCCATGGCACTGGTATCAAAAGAACCAGAGAAGTGCTTTGGGGAACTCTGTCTCAGTCCTCTGTTCTGGGACCTTCCTCTTCTGGAAGAATTTCCTTCTGGTTAGAAAGGTATAGGAGGGGACAGATGTCCTGATCCATGCTTGGCTTTTGATCTTCTGAGCAGACACTTCACCAAGGTGCCAGAGTCACTTCTTAAGTCCCTGGTGAGACTCTGGCTGCCTAGGACAACAGCTCAGGGGATGACCAGGAGGAACTGTCCTTCCCAGTAGACAACTAGGGATAGCTAGAGCACCAGGACTCCTGGGGTAAGAGTCTGACTGTTGACCTGCACCCCAAGACTAGAGATCCTTTTGCTAAAAGAAAAAGCATTTTGTTCACAATGCACCTCTTCGAAAGTTGATGAGAGACACCTAGGAGGAATCTCACTTTCACTGGACCCCCCCTCCCCTCTGCCTCCCTTCACCCCATTAGCCTCTGCTCCCCCTCCTTCCAATTCTCTTTCACCCTCCCTCCTCCTTTCCCACACACTACCTCCTGGTTCATGGTTCAGTGTCCCTTCCAGCTGGGGTTTGGACTAGAGTCATGTAAAGGTCACAGTGCCTCTTCTCAGTCCTCCATCCTTGCTGACTTCTGTGGTGACCGAAGTCCTGTCACTTGGCAGTAGTACCAATGGAAACAATGGTACCGGATGAGCATGGATGGAGGGAGGCAGCAGGCTTCAAAGTGAGGGCTTGTGGCTTCTGGGGATACAGAGAAGCCACTCATCCTATTGGAACTTTCTAAAGGGAAGAGAAGATGGCCACTTAGGTCTGGAAAGGGTCTGCCTCAGCCACTCCAAGTGGAAGGCTGAGGTTTTGGGACAGCTTGCAGCTTCTCTCTGATATTGTTCACCATCTCTGTTCTCATGCCTGTAAGGTAGAGACCATCCTGGGCTGCCGAGGACACCCAGTTTGCTCTGCCAGCTAGATGTTTGGGAGGAGGGCAGAGGCAATTTAGCCTCTCTTCATTAGCTGTTTGCAGACCTAACCTAGGAGACAGTTTCCCTATCTGGTGGACCTGAGGAGCCTTGCTCAGAGGAGGAAGATAGGCTTCCCCTCCCCCATGGTGGGGAGAAGTGGTGAGGGGGCTGGGAGACTACCTTGCTGTCTGCTCTGCCACAGCTTTCAGGCAGGCATGCCCAGGGAGAAGTAGGTGGCATAAATCGCATGCATAATCTCAGGAGACGACCACTTTAAATCTTAATTGGTTGCCTTTTAAATATCATTTAAGGGCCGGTTTCTCTGCCTCTCTCTAGTTAAGAAGGTGTCGTGTCAAACTCTATTACCTTGCAGTATGTCTCTCCTTTTCTTTTCTTTTCTTTTTTTTTTTTTTTTTCTTTTTTTCTTTTTTTCTTTTTGGAAAGGAAGAGAAAAAGAAAAAAAAAATGGAGCCGTCAGCCGCGTTTGAGGGGGTCGATAAAGCTTTTAGATTTGGAGACGGTTTCCGGAGCCAGTTTCCTGCGGCTACGTGTTGTTAATGGAGCTTAAGGAATTATCTTAGACTGGGCCGGCCGGGAGCCGTATATTTCCCGCGCCTGTTCCCTTGTCGAGTCTGAATATGCTGCTGTCAGACTCGCTTAATGAAAAGTAACGCGCCGCTGATTACAGTTTTATTTGGCTCTATGTAAAGAGCGCCGTTAATTTAGCCTCTCCTCTCGGTGTGTTTGCGCTCGCCACGCCTGAGCGACTGAGCGCGTCCCAGCGCTGCCGCCTCGCGCGGGCGCCCAGGGCAGGCTGACAGCCTCCCAGCAGGGGAAGTCGCGGCTAGAAACCCTCCCCCGCCGCGCCCCGCTGGGGGACCCAGACCTTTCCCCTTCCCAGCGCCCTCGTCCTACACAGGCTCCTCGCTTGGCCTTGGGCATCATGCTGGTTCCTGACAGGCGACCCCAAGATTCGGTGAGCCTAAGAGTATATTCTTCAGATTGCTCCCCTAAGTCAGAGATGTCTTATTGCGCGTCCTGGATTGTGGCTGAGCCCCCTTTCCTCTGATATCTTTATCCACAGTGTAGTACAGTTTATTCAAACAAGCTCCTCTAGTGGCTAGGGTCACAAAGGTCTGGGCCTCTAGAAACTTGCTATTTGGACTCCCAGAGCTGGTGCAGGTGCCAGAGACCATGCCCGGAGGTTCCCAGCTCAACAAGCTTGGGCGAGTGCAGAAATCTTCCCTGTCAGCCACTGAGGAGGAATCTGGGGCCCCGAGGCCGGTGTGTGGAAGTGAGCACTGATCAGAGCCTAGGGTATGTGCGCCCAAGGCAAATCTGTCCTCCTCGGGGACAAGGGCTTAGGTCCAAGCCTGAATTTCTGACTCCCTGTCTTCATCTCACCTACTCCTCGCCTGAATCTGTGAAGCCTAATTTTTGCTGAAAATGCTTGGCTTTGTCTAGGGTTGTGTGGGGGCGCGCTTGGCGGGCGCATTAAAATTCCTCGCGCCCCAGCTTGGGCAGCAACGCGTCTCCCCTGAGACTCCACTTTCGCTATTACTGTCAAGTACCCTTGACTCTTTATTTTTGCCCTTTTATCTATTACAACTAATTCGAGTTCTTTTGCCCTTTTCAGTCTGAGACGTGGGCTTTTCGCAAAGCCTCCCCTGCCAGCGTTCTCTCAAAGCGCGGAGCCTTTAGAAATTGAGGGGTTTACTGTCAAAATGAAAATTTCACTTCAAATTATCTTGGCTGATGCTCGCTTGCTAGGCCGGGGGCTCCCACCGCAGCCTTTTGACAGGCACATCAGCGGCAAGCTTCCGCGTCCCGATAATATCATCCAGGAGAGCGAAAGTCAATGCGGTGACAGCGCAGGCCGGGACAATCCAATTACTGAGTGCTGGCCAGGGCAGGCCTGCGGCTTGTGGGGCACTTGGCCATTCAGTGTGCAAGGGCCCAGGTCTGGCAACCACGATCAAGGTGAGGACCATAACTCAGGGGACCCTGTCAGTCCTAGGGGGTCTGGTCCCAGCAAGGGTAAGTTTTTTCCTTGGGTTCTGTAAACTGTCCCCAAAGCTGGCCCTATAGGCTCATTAGTGTGACTAGGCTCCAGTATAGTCTCTAGAATTGCAGAAGAAAGCCCTGGCATCTATTAAAGGTCTGGTGTTTCTCAAAGGCCATTCTCTGAGATGAAAAGTGGTGCATCTAGCATACACAGCTCAGATCTGTGTGGCTATTAGAATTTATTCTAGTCCCAGTGCCCCTTAATCTCATAGTAGCTTGTCCCGGATTCCCTGCTTGACCAGTTGTCTGCCTGCTGCTCCCATCTCCCTAGGAACACTGGGAACTTTTATGAAGTCCATTAGGCCTGAGCAGAAGCTTGCAGTTCAGCAAAGAGCCAGGGATAGGTGTTGGGCAGGTGCTTCCTGGACATGCAGGAAACGTTGTAAAGAAGAGTCATGGAGGAGGACCTGAGACCACAGTAGCTTCCACTAGTGACTTGCTGAGCAGGGTGTGAAGAGTCAAGTCTGCCCTCAACCCAATCCCTTGTGTCACCCCCCCCCATGTCTCTCCTGACTTCTGATACAAAGATTCCCTTTAGTTCTGCTCCTGAGTTCTGATACTAAGGTTTCCCCTCTGGAGTTTTCAGAACTTGGGTGATGTGGAAGCTAAATTTGAAGCAAGTGAGGGCTCAGGCTGCATCTCTGGATGGAGGTTCGGTCAGCAACTGTTAAAGAGCCTCTTGACTTAGAGAATGATGCCCTTGGGGCAATGTCCCCATCACCACAGCAAAATTCCAGGGGATTTAGAAAGCCTAAATATTACTTTAGTCCAGTCATAGAAACCCTTATTTGCTTAAAATTCTGGTGTATGCCAGTGGGGGAAGTTTAAAGTTTGGGGTCTCACATCCAATTATGAGTTCAAAGAGTACTCCTCTCCTGTGCCTTTAACATCACAAAAATGGTTTGCTTAGACTTGGATTGGCAACTACTTCATTGGAGGTGGAGTCTGGGTCAGCCCACCCATCCTCCCTCCCCCTCCCCCAGCTGGACGGGGGCAGAATCACCCTTCTGGTCACACCTGTAGACCCCAGCTGTGAAATGTGTTCCCCCTGCAACACAAACATCATCATGGGGATTTATTAGTTTTGTTGTATTAGCCTCTCTCTGAAACAGGCAATTACTGGTGTGAGTATACATCTTAGAAAACATAATTTTGTTGAGTCAAGAGTGTGCAACAGTGTAAACACGGTGGAAGTGTTGTTGGTGAACTTTCTGTGCTGAGCATGAAGAAGTCTGAAGATGAGCAGGCTGAGGAGTCTTCGTATGCAACACGGGCATGCCTCAAACCCAGAAGCAGACAGCGACACAAAACAAGCCTCAGAACCCAAATGCCTTCTCCGTGTAAACTTTGGACGTAAACTTTATTCTTCAGGGGGCCTCCCCTCTGCCTTGAGAGTGCTCTCTTGTCTTCCTGGAGTTCAGGGATGGCGCAGGTAACACAAGATAAGGTGAAACCTGGTGGTTGAATGCGAGGGGGTTCTTCCACGCCCCTTTGCCTGAGTTCAGATCCTCTGCCTCAGATGGCATCATTGGCTTGGAAATACCCCCCTTCCTTTGGAAACCCATTAAAAACAGTTCAGAGTTAGCGCCTGCAGCCTGAGCGCCAGTTCCCTTCTCCACTGTGCAGGTGGGTGTTAAGTGCAGAAAGGTTTGCCACCAGGCTTGGGCGTAGCCAGCAGCTCCCGGGCAGCTCCCGCAGGCGGGGCGTCTTGGGGCACCGTGGGCGGGAAGGAGCAGGCCAGGGGCGTAGTCAGTACGTTGGTGCCCGCCCCCAGAGAGCGTCCTAAAGAGCCAGGATCCAGAAGGGCACCCTTAGCAGTGGCCCAGGCCTGGTTCAAAGTGCTGTGCCTAAGGATGGGATCGTGAAATACCCCGTCCACCCAGTTTCTGAGACTAGTTACTGGGGAGTCCTGGTGCCTTTCCAGGGCTACTGAAGGGGCTGGGACTGCAGGTGAGGAGGCCGGTGGTGGCACCGAGGATGCCCCCACCGGACCTTGGCGTTTCAGCATGCAGGAGGGAAACTCAGTCTGGCTCAGAGCTGTGACTGCAGTAGCTGTGGCTGTGTGCGCCAAGGACCAGATGCGCGGCTTGGTCTCCAGGCTTGGCGGCGCCCCTGCAGGGGCAAAGCTGAGTTTGGCTTCGCAGGCCTGTGGGCCGCCCTCGGCGCCAGAATCTGGCGCAACCACTGTGCTCCTGAGGCAGCTCCGGCCCCTCTCCAGGTCCTCATCCATGGCAGCTCCACTAGCGGTGCCTGGAGGCATCCGGAGTGTAGCAGAGGCCTCCTTGCCTGGGCCAGGGCCATCAGATGAAGCAGGAATCCTCTCTGGTCCGCTGTCCAGGGGCTGGAAGGGAGTCTTCAGATCACACTCTGAGGTCTCTGCATCTAGAGGGTCGAAATCTTCCAGGTCACTGAGTTCTAGCTCCTTGTCGTCTTTGCCAACAGGACCTGTCAGGCAACAACACGTGGCCAGTGGAGGGACACAGGATGGCATAACTAGCATCCTAACTTCCATTTATCCTAAGACCAGAGTTAATGGGACCTCATTCTAAACTAGTTAATAGACCAGACCCTTCTCTGTTTTCTTCTTTCTATCACATAGAGACCCCAAGTCTTGAACTAGTAACCCCAGCTGGGCAGATCTGGACTTAGTGGTGTATGAAATGCTTTTTTTAACTTGACTTTAAGCATGCTTGCATGGTAGCACCTCAGTCTCTAACTCCCCAGGCACAAGGTCTGACTGGAAACTGGTTCATTCAATTGCTGCCCAGGCCCCAAGGCTTTCCATTTGCTACCCTAGAGCTTCTAGAGACTACCCACCCTAAACATTACAGAATCTCTAACCCACCTTCGCTCTTAGCACTCTTGAGAGGTTCCTCCCGTGATTCCTCGACAGCCTCCTCCTCTTCACCCTCACCATAGGGCCGCTTCTCATCTGCGCACTTATTTCGAGGTGGCCAGGTCATTTTATTTTCTTTTTTGAGACGCCTGCGCGCATTGGCGAACCAGGTGGAGACCTGTGTGAGGGTCATCTTGGTGATGATGGCCAGCATGATCTTCTCTCCCTTGGTGGGGTACGGGTTCTTCCGGTGCTCCTGCAGCCAAGCCTTCAGTGTACTGGTGGTCTCCCGGGTGGCGTTCTTGCGCCGCGTGCCGCTGTCCACGGTCCCATACCTGGAGACAGGCTCTGCAATGGGGTGCCAGTCGGGGCCCGGGAGATCACGCAGAGCAAGCAGGTGCAGGGTGTAGGGACAGGCTGTGCCTCCCTGGGGTGGGTTGCATTTATGGGCAATGCTTTGCCTTTTGTGGGCCAGGGGCGAAGATAATGTCATTAAAATGACAGGGAGTAGGTCATGGCCTCTGTCACTCTGTAGACACATTTCTTTGATTTCCTCCGTGGGGCTTCCCTCTTACCACCATGATCCAAAAACTATAAAAAGGTATTACGGATCTGTGAACCAGCACCCAGGAACCTGTGCCCAGAGACAGAGGGGAGGAGCAACCTGGAAACCAGGTCCAGGGCTTTTGGTTGAACTAGTAATGGTGAAGATGGGCTGGTGGTCTGTCCCTACCATGGGCACCAAGGGTCAAGGGTCTTGTCTTTTGATTCCCACTGTAAAGCTGGTGGCCATGGCTCAGAAACCTATCTGTGCTGAACTTCTTGGGCTGTCTCAGGCCTAGTGGACTAAGCTTTCTAGAACCACTTTGCTTGAAAAATCACAGCAATGGGAGAATTTCCACATTCCCAGCAGTATGTCAGGGTGTGTGTGTGTGTGTCTGTGTGTGTGTGTGTGGGGGGTATGGGTGTGGCAGGGTAGGGCAGACCACCTGCTTGAGGGAATTGCCCTCTGGTGGTGGTGATGAAGGTGGAATGGTAGCCGTCCTGGCAGTGGGGGAGGGAGGTTTGAGCTCTCACCTGTCATAAGGATACTGGCCCAGAGCTGGCTCATAAGGGTAGTAGGCTGCAGCTGCTGTAGGTGCTAGGCCGGCGTGTGAAGATCCTGTGCCATCCTTGGACTCGAAACTGTTCTGTAAAAACCCAGGCATCTGAGGCCACAGCTTCTGAGGACCCTCCATTAAGCCTTCTTAGCTTAGCTAAGCTAGGATTCCCGAGTCCCCCCAAACTTGCCCAAGGCCCACAGACTCCAACCCACCTCCTACTGGTCTTATTCAATACTCAGTTCCCCCAATAGACTTGGGGAGGGAGGGGGGGATGTGCTGGGCTGGCTTTAGGTAGGGAAACAGGGATAGATCAGAGGGTGAAGATGAGTGAAAAGGGGAGAGAGGAGGAGACAGATCCCGAAGAAGCCTGAAGAGGAGAAAGAGGGTGGACTAGTAAGGACTTCAGAGGGGCCACTAGGCCCAAGGATAAAGAACCCCGTGGAGAGGAGGCCTTGAGCGGGAGGGAAGGGGCGGAGCGGGGAGGAGCTAGGGCGTGAGGTCCCGAGGCAGTAGGGGAGAGGGAGGAAGGAGAAGGGTGTACTGTGGATGAGAAGGGAGAGGTCGTCTGAAACTGTGAGGAATCCCTCTGGGGAGTTAGGAACCTAATCAGAAGTCAATGGCAAACTAAACAGCAGCAACATCTTAGACACCGGGCCTCTCTGGCGGGTCCCCCTGAGTCTGAGGCTTCGGGCCAGTAGGCACAGCTAAAGCCCTTCTCCTCTCACCACACACAACCTTAGGGGATCCGGGCACTGGCACCCCGGGTGGAAGTAGACTTGGCAAACCGAGGGTTCGAGGGTTCGGGTGGGGCGCGGGGTGGTGGGAGGGGGTTTGTCCCTTTACCAGCGAGTAGAAAGCAGACGCCTCTGAGCCATAGGTCACGTAGTTTCCATAGCCCTGCGAGCTGCCATAAGGGCTCCCGTAGACGCCAAGTGCCGCGGCAGAATTGAGTTCGTGGCGCGCGGTGGCTAGCAGCCGGCTCTCGTAGACCGGGCAATAGACCGGCGCCTGGGCCGAGCCTGCAGGCCCGGAGTCAGCCAGTGTGCGGCCGCCCGATTCGCAGCACGTGTTCAGGGAGTTGGTGGTCATCAGGAACTGGGGACAGAGGGACCACAAAGAAGCATGGGCACCCGGACAGAGGCTAGGGTGCTGGACCCTCAAGGACCTCAGGAGTCGCTAGGGGCCTCCTGTTGTCTCTGCCAGACTTGAAATCTTCCTTCAGCCAGTTTAGGCCTTGCCTTCTATGGCCACGTGGGGCCCAGTCAGCTGTTCAAATCTTCTGCGGGGTTCCAAGGCCCTTGTATGCCTTCTCACTAAAAATGTCTGCCTGGCCTACATGCTTCCCAGGGTCCCCCAGAGCACAGACTGATGGGTTAAACAAGAGGGAATTTAGGCCCACCCACCGGATTTTTTTTTCTGGCACCCCTAAGCACCCGGACCGGACCGTGTTTAGCTCTTATAAGGGGCCGCCAGGCAAGGACCCTGCTATCTGGGAAATGACAACCGATGGTGGCACTTCCCTCTCCCACTCCTGCTGTCAGACCCTTGCAGGAGTCCCTTTACCTGGGGAGCAGAGGAATAAGGGTATCCAAACTGCGGGTAGGACATGGCGGGCTCGGCCTAGGAAGGTTGGAGGGGCCGTTGGGGTCCTGGGCGCGCTGTGGCCACTGCTCCGGGGGCTTCAGGCTCCTAGGCTCTGGGAAGGCGAAGGGAGAGGTGGTCAGTTCACCCACTCGCTGCGCAAACTTTCCTAACCAGGTAAGAAACTGAGTGGCTTTGGTTGCAGCGATCCTTTTAGCTTCGAAGTCTGAACCCTCCAGAGGGCTCTGGGACCGACTGGCCTCGCCGCAAGAACAGAAATACATATTTTGCGAAACGGAAGGAAAGAAGGAAGGAAGGAAGAAAGGAAGAGAGGAAGGAAGGAAGGGAAATTATAAAACTGAGTATCGCGGACTGTCAAGTCAGTAGCACCGGGCTTTAAGCGACAGAAGCGATGACGTCAGCGACGCCGCAGCTTGGCCTGGCCGCAGACCTTCGGGTCCTCTGCCTGCTGGCCGGGTGGGGCGGGGATAGTCTACGTCTGCGCCAGCAAGGCGGAGGGCCTTCGAGCTTTAACAAATGAACTCCATCCAAAGAGTCAATATCGCCCCGGACGAACGGTGTTTCTCCTTAGTCACGGAGGACGGAAGGCACTTTTAATTAGAAATTAATTAACGAGCAGCTGCTCCTTCACACCCCACTGTAATCATTAGTCTCAATTACAAATGAGACCTATGAAGGGACACACGAGTGAGTCTTCAGTGAAGATGTAATCAACAGTTAAATTAGCCGGGCGCAGGCTACAACCGTCCGTTGCCCATGCTGCACAGTGCGCAGGGTGGAAAGACTCAGGCCCTGCAGACCCCCTCAGGGCCCTCGCACTGAGATGAAGACCGCGTGCCTGGGCGCTCCGCACACTTCTTCGCCTTCAGGTTTAGGAGAATCTCAGCAATGCCTTCCACCAGTTCCATTTCCAACTCTGCCCCCCATGTAGTGTTTCAGAACCAGCTGCCTCCAGAAGAGCCCATATTTTGATGTGGACCTTAACTCAGGTGTGTGTGTGTGTGTGTGTGTGTGTGTGTGTGTGTGTGTGTGTGTGTGTGTGTGTGTGTGTGTGTGTCCCAGGGCCTCCCCAGAGTCCAGCACTTCCAGGATCGATGGGGCCAGGTACTGCGAGGCTTTCCGGGTTTAGCACAGGTTGATTGTGTCATTCTGGGCAGCTGGCTGTCCCTGGAGACGGCCCCTCCCCCTCCTCCCCTCCAGGTCAGCCCTCTGCTCAGCCTGGTTTCGCTTCATTTCCTCTCCCCTCCCTCTTCTGGTAGCCCTTCGTGGCCTCCTTCCTCATCCCAAGGCTAAGACAGAGACTGCCAGACGCCGCTGCTCACTGGGAAGAGCACATTTCCCAACTTGGTCCCCGGGCTCTTCCCGTAGGCACATCGATCCTAGCGAGCAGCTGGGTAGAGGGAAGGGGGCGTTGGGCACCTAGTCCTGGCACCCTCCGGTTCGCTTCACACAGCTTCCTGCCTGGACAGTAAGGAACTCTCCGAGAGAAGCCCCGCGTACTCTCAAGACTTCCTGAACTAATCTGGCCCCTGCAGTATTGTCCTGAGTTCAAAGCGGAGATGAGCAGGACGTGTAGGGAGTTTGGGGTGTCAGGCCACCGGAATTCTCAGGCCGCCTTTCATACTGATCTTTCCGGGGCCAGGCTCGCCCCTACTTCTCTTGGCCCACCTGGCCAGCCTCTCGTGCTCCGCCGGCAGCAGAGCCGCTCATCACGGAGCTGTGCAGACTTGCTCGGAAAGATTCCTGGGTTCAGACCTGTGAATCGCCCCAGGGCCACCCTCTAATTAATGATGACGTTCGCGCCCTCTCCCCAGCTGCAAGGCTGCCTCCCAGAAACGAAATCTGCCGGCCCTGACAGCTTGGTTGAAGGTGATGGATGACTATCTGGAGACCGCAGTACACATCATATAATATCTGCTGCGTAATTGCTTTAATTTACAGATGAAAATACGAGTTCTCCGATCGCGCTGGACCGCAGCAGGCCACGTCCGAACTGCTTGCAAAGGGAGAAACCATCGGAAATAATGAATAGTCGCCCCATGCAAATTATTCAGACAGTTTAGCGTTGGTAGCCGCGAGAGATATACATATATAAAGAACACGAGTCGAATGACATTAATAATTGTTTTTGAATTCTGTATTGATTTCATGGCAAGCTGTGTTTATTTCTTTCTCACCTGAATTGCTAATACCACCTTCCTGTAAATAATAAGAAACTAGCCACCGGGGCTTCTCGAGTAGAAATGAATCTCAGCTTCTCATTCTTCCTGTTTCTTCCCCTCCCCCAACTCCCTTCTCCTCACCTCTTCCAGTTTTCAGGCTCTACTGAGGCTTTGGGGAGACGTCGGCTACTTTCATTATTTATTGTTTACAAACAACTCTTTCGATGATGAGGTGCTGGCAAGGGAGGGGCTCTGTGCAGGATGGTGGAGGCTCAGGGGCAGGAATCTAGCATAGACTAGTGTTCCTCGGTGACCAGTCTTTTTGTCACCTCATTCCTGAAGCCCAGGCCTTGGGGACTATAGGAAGCACCAGCCCTCCGGTTGGGAAGGAGAATGAAAACCAGGCTGCTGCCTCTATGTGACACTCTGGGGCTTCAGCTAGCAGCAGCAAGCAGTGTACCCATACCGCAATGAGCACCCCCTGGTTTTCTTTCCCAGACACCTGGCAGGACTGGGGTTGGAATGTTGCCCCCAGGACTTCCATTTATGTACTCAGTAGACTCTGTACTCAGGTAGGGTACTCAGCCAGAGTCCCCCAGGGTCTCTGGTCTCGGGGGAAGGGGTTTCAAGGGCTTTCTTTGGGTCCTCAATGCAACATTATGATTTGCCTTCCAGTATGAGCTTCCAGGCCCCAGGGGCTGTTATTCTTTCTAGTCACCATTTCCCTGGGTCTAGAAATCAGGCACATTTAACTCCACCATCCCTGAGGATGCAGACTCATGCTCCCTACCCTGCCTGCTCCATGCAAGGGCCAGTCAGGACCTTACTGGCCTGATCTGTCCTTACCCAGGCCCTACTGTCCAGTCCTGTCTCTGGCCAGCACTCACACCAGGCATGCTGACAATCTGCTACCTGGCTGAAGCTCCCCTACCCAAATGAGATATTCTATAGGGCATCCTTGCTTCCTTTGCTTTCCTCAAAGAAGAAACCTCCAGAAGAGGCACAGAGCTCACCAAGAGCAAACAGTAGTCCCAGAATCTCAGGCACCATCAGCTAAATAGAGCTTGCATAGATAGACAGTCCTTGCTGTGCCCTGAAATTCAGAGGGCCCCTAGATATAAATACACCATTCAGCAGGATGGCCAGAGCCACTTGGCTCCTTGCAGGGCCAGCAGCTGATCACCTTTGGAGAGGGCTTCAAAAGATCAGTGACTCAAGGCCTGATCAGATCTCAAAGGGGTGGAACAGGGAGCAGTTAGCCCCAAGAATTAGGAGCCCAGGGGCCACCCTTATTTTCTGAGGTTGATGATAGCCATAGGACTGGCGAGAGCTTCTGAGGAGTCAGGCCTGGCTTTTTGAGATTCTTGTAACCAACTGAATCCTGGCTCTCCAGAGTAATTCTTAGGCCACTTCTTAGTCATACCATGAGCTCGATGGGAGCTCATTCTAGCTCCGACAGAAGTTGACTACAACCCAAGGCCAAGACAGAAGCCTGACACCAGGAAAGAATCCCCCCCCATCTGAGGCTAGGCTGGAACTTGGGATGCCTGGGTCCACTTTGAACATGGAGCTGGTGTAGACTCAGAGAGACACTCAGGTGCCAGAGATGCTAGGTGGTGCGGGTACCCCCCCCTTCTTTGCCTCAGTTCATTCTTCACAATCAACCCCTGTTCCCTTTACCCAGCCTGTGGGGTGAGCTGCTGGGACATGCGTTGAAATTCCCCGTCTGCTCCCCCAATGTCGTCCTTTCTGGCCCTCTTTTCCTCAGCTTTTCTACTGCATCCCCACCGACCGTCCATTCAGAGCTGCCCAAGGAAGGAAAAAAGAACGCACTCAGGGCATCCGAGAGTACAAGCTGTATTATCTCACGCAAGCCACCACGGTCCGCGGGGACCTCTGCATTCCGCACTCGGATGCCGGTTTTTTTCTATCCCGCTTCCCAAAACTTGCAGCAAATGCAGCGGCTTCTGAAGACCCTATCCGCTAGAAGCAAACTTTGTCCCCTCCGGCGCAAGAGCGATCCTCGCAAAGTTTGCGCGGCAGAGCTCGTTTCTTACCTGCGCTGGGCAAGAGTCGGCCTGTGCCTCTCGGGCGCCAGGGCCTCCGGGAGCAGCGCGCAGCCCGGGACGCACCGGGGAGTCGCCGCAGCTGCCGCCGCCGCCGCCGCCGCCGCCCGCGCCCCTCGGCGGCCGCGCGGAGCCTCTGCCTCCTCCGCCTCCTCGAAAGGGGGGGAGGGGTCTGGGGACCCTGGGGCGGGGGCGGGCTCGGGGACCTTGTCTACCTGAGGTGGCGCCGGGCCACTCCTGGCCGCCCGCTAGGGCTCTGCGCGGCCGCTGAGCGCGCGCGCTCCAGCGGGGAGCAAGCGACAACTAATGGAGACATTTCCAGGCGGAGCACCTGGAGAGCGGAGCGCGCCGGCGTCCCCAGGCGCCGCGGTCGTCAGCCGAGCCCGCACCGGCGTGACGTGGGCGAGCGAGCGAGCTGCTCCCACCCGGCCGCCCATTAACGCTTTCCCCCCGCGGGCGCCCAGCGCTTGCCAACTTTCCCCTCCACCCTGGCTGCGCACCGGGTGCGCGGGTGTAGGGGCTGGGATGAGGGGTTCCTGAAGGTGAGGGTTCAGGCTTGACCTCCTCAGGATGGTGGGGCGAAGGCTCTTGGACCCTGAGAAGACACCCCAACCCTACCAGGACAGCAGGCGACACTGGGCCCTGATTTGACCAAAAGCTTGGCTTGCTGTGTGGATCTAGCTTCCCTGGGCTTGTGGGCTTGTATCTAAATGGTTCCCCTTCTCCACTTCCACTGTCTGGCTAGGAGATAGCTCCTCTCCTTTTAGGACAGATTCCCCACCCCCCACCAGACCATATTTACCCTGCCCTTCACAATAGTATCCTTGGGAATAGAACAGGCTCTCAGGCTCCTAGTCCTTCTTTTCCTGTACCTTCCTCTCACGCCATCCGCATTAATGTAGGGTTCTGGTACCTCCTTGGTGTTCACAGTAGTCCCAACAAACCCGACTCTTGACTTTTTGGGCAGCGGGCTGGGCCTTCCTCACAGACTTGAGCAAGAGAAACATATAGTTCAAGTTGAGAGACTGCTTAGGGGCTCAGTAAATCTGTGACCTCTCTGGGAGGGATCTTGCTCAGGACTGTCCAGAGCCAGTTAGCTGGGCTTCTACCCTGGGAACCAACAAGAGGACAGACGTCCTTTGGTTTCTTCAGCCTGAAGCTGGAGCCTATGACAGGAGAGGTAGGTCCATCCTAGACCCCCCTCACCTACCCTCAGCAGCAGAACCTTTTGCCCCTTGCCTCCTAGAATACTCTTTTGTGGCCTTGCTGCCCTGCAAGAGGTCTCAGTGCAGGAGAGAAGCCAGATGGTGAGCTCCACCTGCCCAGGTTAGAGCAGGAAGGGGCTGTGGCCTGTACAGCCCTAGGGCTTCTCCAGGATACCCCTTCTTCTGCATAGTTTTCACTTCAAAGAGCCAACTTATTTCTCTTCATCATCCGCAGCAGTGCAGTGACAGTTGAGATTTGCTGATTTAGATAATCTCTGCGAAAGTCATCTTGGATTTTACCCCCCTTTGCTCCTTTTCCCTTCAGAGCTCCTTGCAGCTGCTAGAGGGGTAATTTCCAAACTGCTTGCTTCCCAGGCAGCATAGAGCTGGTCTGTGGTTGCAAATCTCACTCATCTATCTTCTCTACTGGGAGAGAGGAGGCCAACAGTGCCCAGCCACACTGAGCTGGAGCTAGAGGTGCTGCTGTGGGTGACATTGCTTTAATCACTGCCTGGTTTGGAAACCTGAAGGGAGCTAGGCCACCAGTGCAGCCCAATGAGCTAGAGGCGGGGACTTGGATTCTGGGTCTGGGTCTTGTCCCTTCTCTTTGGCTCCAAGTCTGGGAGGCAAATAGGGGAAAAGGTGTTCTTTCTATAGGGACACATGGAAGCATTTCTTCAGAAGGTGGGAGAGCTTCTCTAATTCCAACTGAAATGCAGAGGAAGGATATGTCTGCCCCCTAGGGAAGGAGTAGGCATTTCTGGTTTCCACCTTGTTCTGGGGCTCCTCTTAGGCTGTGTAGGAAGCTCCTCGTATTTTGCTGGGTAGGCAGAGACAGGCCCATCAGCACTCCTCATGTGACTCTGGGCTCTACTTAAAGCTAATACTAGCAAGGTGCTTGTGATCCCGAGTGTACAACCATAGCTGACTTGCCTTGTTTCATACTCACCAAGGCTTCCCAAAGGACCAGCAACAGTCTAGAAACACCAAGACACACAAGTCATGGCCACTAGCACTCCACAGGGCTGTTTTTATCTTCATGACCCAGATCACGTGGGATACACACGCCACCACAGGAGTTTACTTGTGACTCTGGTGCCTTTTCATGGGAGGAAAGAGCAGGTGCCATCTCCTAATTTAGAGTTCACTTGGCTGAATGCTGCCAGGCCTGACCTTGCCCTGATTACTGGGATGAAGTGGTTTACAGATATCAGCCCTTCATTTTCTGGGCAGGGCAGCTTCTCTGAACCCTCTTGCTAAGCTCCGGAGCCCTCCTGGACTGGCATCCTGTGGAAATGATGGAAATACCCCAGGTTTTGGCCAGGGAGCCTGTAGGGAAAGTCCCTTTTCTGGCTTCAGAGTGGGTGGTCAATCTGGAAAGAGGGTCTACAGCTCAAGGTTCAGCTTTTAGGGAATAGTCCTGGGGGCCAGCAGGTGGGCGGCTCTGGCAGCTGACAAGGCTGATGCTGCCCGTACTGCTGTGCCCCTTAGATCCTCTTTCAATCCGTCTTTTGTCTTTCCTCCTGCTGCAGCTGCCAGAGTGTGATCTGGAATGAAAGTCTCTGCACCCTTGGGGCTTGGCCACGTGGCTGCCTCCTCCTCACCTGGACTTTGCTACAACACGCACAGGCATCTGGGGATAAAACCTCCAGCAGGAGCTTACAAAGGCCTGGCCTCAAAGCTACCCAATGTCCACCATCCCTATGGGGTCCAGGGTCTTGTCTTTCTGCCCAGCCCTCTCTGGGGACCCTGAGGAATAGCTTTGGTTTGGGCCGAGAGGCATGCTTGGTAGTAGAAGAGTAGGGTAGCATCTGGGGAGACACGGTAGCAGTGGCCTTGGCCAGGATTTGTAGAGCGTGGTCAGTGCTGAGAGTGACTGCATCTGGGACATTAGTGAAGGCAACTCCTAGCTCAGAATCTCATTTCTTCCTTTGCTCCGTCCTTGTAGCACAGGAAAAGGCTCAGAGAGGAGAAATCTAGGTTTCTTGTCTTCTGTTCTGGATCATCAGAACCAAAATGCATCAGCACATTTTCCAGTGCAAATTTAACGATAAAAGGCCATAAACTCAGACATCACCCATCCTTGCAGATGCTTGAGATTGTTTTCCAAGTGGAGCCTCAGCTTATGAAGACCCAAGCTGGAAAAGTCAGCCACATGAGGCTGACCCTGAATCTTTGAGGAAGATGCCAGCACATATAGGGACTTGTGAATACCACATACACCTTCGATCTAGCATAAATGGAAAAGCTTTGGTAGGGGAGGAGAAAGGTACAAACATATCTTGTGCCAGTGAGTTAGTATCAGTGAAAGGATAAGGAGGTGTGGCCTTGTTGGTGGAAATGTGTCGCTGGGGGTGGGCTTTGAAGTTCCAGAAGCCCACGCTGAGCCCAGGGTCCCTCTCCTTTCTTGCTTCTTGAAGATCAGCTACTTCCCAGGCACCATGTCTGCCTGTGTGCTCTCACACTTCCTACCATGATAATAATGGACTAAACCTCTGAAACTATTAATTAAATGCTCTCTTTTATATGAGTTGCCATGGTCAAGGTGCCTTTTCACAGTATTAGGACAGTGACTAAGGCAGTAAGCACCCAATGGTAAAAATAAAAAGTTGCATGGCTGCTCCCCATATATGTGATTGCAGGCAGAAAACACTTTAGTAAGTGAAAGATGTCAAGACACACCCAGTGATGTTTGATGAGAGATGTCATTCTGTAAATATGTTTCTCTTATTGGTTAAAGAATAAAGTATGGTTCAGCCAATGAAGCAGAATGATAGGAGGGACTAAGAGACAAGGAGGATTGTGGGAAGTGTAGGCAGAGAGCACATGACCCTGGGAAGAGAGGATGCAAGTCAGACATTCTCCGGTAAGATAAGACCATGTAGAAATATATAGATTAGTAGTTGTGGGTTAATAATTAAGACACAGCTTGCCAATAAGAAATCCTAGTCAATGGCCAACAGCTTTATAATTAGTATAGTGTCTGTGTGTTCATTTGGGGCTGACATGGCTGTGGGACCAGGCTGGCAGGAAGAACCATCCGTAACAGATTTTTCACAGGCCGGTGTGGAAATGAGAGGAGTGGATGGACATGCGAGGTTGGCCTCCCCTTGCGGCCTGATCTCTCAGCAGACGCCTCATTTTAGTTTGCCACTTGAACCTGGTCTCTTGTATTTCCTCACCAGGGCTTCCCATCAGCTGAGGTCAAGTCAGCAATGTCCAGAAAACACCTATAAAGTTAGGGAACGTTTATGGATTGGTCTGAGTTTACAATGGGCTATCCTGTTGTTATTGGCCTGTCTCCTTTAAGTGGTCATTTAGGGAAGTGTGTAAGTGACCCAAAGGCAGCCATGAAAATTTAAGTGCTCTTCAGGCCAGTGCAGGGAACATCCCAAATCGCCATTTAAAATACTAGAGTAGGGTACTGGTGGCACACACCTTTAACCCCAGCACTTGGGAGGCAGAGGCAGGCAGATCTCTGTGAGTTTGAGACCAGCCTGGTCTACAGAATGAGTGCCAGGACAGGCTCTAAAGCAATACAGATAAACCATGTCTCAAAAAACAAAACAAAACAAAAACCCCAAAATAAACAAACAAAAAACACCCCCCCCCAAAAAAAAACCAAAAACCAAAAAAACAACATTAGATTAGCTTAGAGGCAGTGACCAGTGTAATGATGGCCACCAATAATGACTGTGGCAGTAGATCACACAGGACTGTCCCCAAGGAACACACACACACACACACACACACACACGTTTAATAGTACTTTTTTTGAAATTCAATTAATCGAAGGCCTCAGATAAAAGGCACACATTCTTAATGGCTATAAAATAACCCGAGGAGGGCGACGGAGCTGTGGCGCTCAACTTCAAAGCACGGCAGAAATACTGTTT